GGGGCCATACTTTCAAAACTCGCTAAGTGAACGTAACTACTTACGCTCTATTTTCTTGTCTATGATTGGTGGATTTTGCTTGAAAGGCCGTCAATGATTGGCTGATGAACTTACGATCTCTTAACTTTTTTTGAAAGTATAAGTCTAGAATATTACGTTTGGCGACGAGGTGGTTACAGAAAAAAAAGTATTTCAAAAGAAATATCTACCAACTCGTATTGTGCGACACTCTGGCAAGCCTCTGTCAACAATTCAACGCGGATGTTGAAACATTTTCTTCGAGTTTGTTGAAAGAATTACACTGTTAGAAAAATGACCGATAACGGTTATACCGGCGTTTCAGTGGCCGGTCGGCACGTGAAAAGAAACACCGTTTCGCCGTTTTTATTCCAATTTAACGCTAGAAATCCGTAAAACATCTGATAAAAACGGCGAAACCGTTCATTTTCACGGGGCGACCGGCCACTAGGATGCCGGTGGGACCGTTTTTTCACCGTTTTTTCTAACAGTGTACAGTGTAATGTGGTTAGCAACTGATGGTGACGGTATGAAGAAAGCTGCTTTCCTCATTAAAGTTTTGCCAGTAAAGGTAATAGCTGATTTACAGTGTTGAATTAAGCCCATTAAACTGTCATAACAGTGACAGTTTAACAGTGTCATCTACTCTGTTAAACTGACACTGTGTCATCTCTTGTGATGACACTGTATCATCTCTTGTGATGACACAGTGTCATCTACACAGATGACACTGTGTTATCTCTTGTGATGACACTGTTTTATCTCTTGTGATGACACTGTGAAATCTACACAGTGTCATCTACACTGTTTAACTGGCACTGTGTCATCTACACAGATGACACTGTGTGTAGTAGTTGTATCACTTTTGATGACACTGTGTTATCTACACAGTGTCATCTACACTGTTTAAACTCATTAACAGTGTCATCTAACAGTGTCATGTCATCTACAGTGACATTCTACCCAAATTAACTGTTCAATTTGAGGCAAAAAAGTCTGAAGTGGGAGCGCTAGTAAAGTTCTTAAACATTTTGTTATGTTATGTTATGTTATTAAGCAAAGTTTTACATACACAATCATAACCTACGATAAGATAATCAATAATCTGGCTACAAAAAACTGCTACCATCATGACTACTTAACTACAGGACTACGAAGGCAAGAATTTCAACGAAATTGTTGAAAAAGCGAAATTACTGAAGCAATTCGAAACTGACAGAGTGAGATGAAGCCAGAGAGATGTGATAAAAATTTGAGAACTTTTAAAGAATTTATTTGCAAATAATGGTTGAAAATAAATATTTGGTCAATAACAAAAGTTCATTTCAGTAGGTACTTTATTTTAATCAAGGTAAGCTCCTGCTACTAGAAGGAGCTGGACCTTGAACAAGCGAATAAACTAATATACCATCGGAATAGTATGAATAATATACCATATACAAGCGAATATACCATATACCTAATATATCATCAAAGGTGCCAAAGAATTACACGTGTATTTTATGCGGTATAATTTTTTGGCAAAGCATTTGGCTAAAAATTTATTCGCCATTAATATTAAAAGCGCTCAAAATGCATTAAAATTATATTTTAACATATAAATTTGAGATTTAAACTGACGTTCCGAGCAAGGAGACCTCGGTTAAATATGCAAGTCAGGTATTATTAATTTGATATTATTATTGGATTATAATTAATTAATTTTTTATTATCCATTTTGTCGGACTTTTAAAGAATTTATTTGCAAATAATGGTTGAAAATAACTATTTGGTCAATAACAAAAGTTCATTTCAGTACTTTATTTTAATCAAGGTAAGTCAGATATTATTAATTAGATATTATTATTAAACTATAATTAATAGATTAAAATTATTCAATTTATTATTTTTAGATTATAATTAAATTGATTTATTATTATTAGATTATAACTAATTAATTTAATGATATCGGATTATAAATAATTAATTTATTAATATCAGATTCTAATTAATTTATTATTATTATTAGATTAAAGTTAACTAATTAATTATTACTATATTAGAATTAATTAAATAATTATTAATAGATTGTACTTAATTAATTAGATATTATATGCTAAAGGAGAGGGAGAGGGAGGAGAGGGAGAAGGAGTGGGAGAAGGAGAGGGACGGGGAGAGGGAGAGGGAGAAGGGAGAAGGAGAGGGACAGGGAGAGGGAAAAGGAGAGGGAAAGGGAGAAGGAGAGGGAGGAGAGGGAGAAGGAGAGGGACAGGGAGAGGGAGAGGGAAAAGGAGAGGGAAAGGGAGAGGGAGAAGGAGAAGGAGAGGGAGGAGAAGAGGGAGAAGCAGAAGGAGAGGGAAAGGGAGAGGGAAAAGGAGAGGGACAGGGAGAGGGAGAGGGAAAGGGAGAGTGAGAAGGAGTGGGAGAAGGAGAAGGAGAGGGAGGGGAGGGCGGCACCTTGCAGGGGGGGCAGGGGAGGCGGCGCCTCTCTAGCCTGGGCGGGGCCACGGCCTCCCAGGGCCCCGCCCTCCTGCGGGTGTCAACAACGCGCACTGCCACGCTAGAGTGGCACTCTGCTGGACACGTGTGGTGGCAGTCTGGCAGCCTGCTGCCACACACCTCGTGGCATGGTGGGCACTCCCCTACGTGGCACCTGTCGCAAGTTGTGCCATTAAATAACTTTTGATGACAAAATTTGTTATTTAATTTAATATTTAAATTATTTTGTGTCCCAGAGCACGCAACAAATATTTTTTTAAGAGAGAGAAAATAAACAAAGAATGAAATTTTTTTGAGAGATAATAAAAAAACAATAAATGGAATAAATAAACAAATAAATGAAATAAATGAACAAATAAATGAAATGAATGAAAAAATGATACAAACAAATGAAAAATTTTTACGATAATTTTTGTACACAAGAAAAACATTAAACGCCGTCAAAAGAACGTTTAATGAGCGTAGATTCAACAAAAAACGGTAATTCAATGTTAATTCAACATGAGATGACATGAACGACGACGAAAAAACGTTTAATAAAATAAATTAAAAAAAGTTAAATTCAACGTTAATTCAACATGAGATGACATGAACGACGACGAAAAAACGTTTAATAAAATAGATTAAAAAAACGTTAATTCAACGTTACTTCAACGTGAGATGAGACGAACGATGACGAAACAACGTTTAATCAGCGTAGATTCAAGGAAAAAACGTTAAATTCAACGTTAATTCAACGTGAGATGACATGAACGATGACGAAACGTTTAATAAAATAGATTAAAAAACGTTAATTCAACGTTAATTCAACGTGAGATGACATGAACGATGACAAAACAACGTTTAATACAATAGATTAAAAAAAATTGCTGCTGCGCTCCCTGCCACATGCCACAGTCTTGCTGCTGCCACCACACGCGCATGCCACCTGCGCCACATATAATCAATATTAATTAATTAATTATTATCAACACATTACTCGCCCATTAACACATTATTTGATATTAATCAATATTAATAAATTAATTATTATCAATACATTGTCACTATTAATATATTATCACCCGTTAATGCATTACTTGATATTAATCAATATTAATTAATTATTATCAATACATTACTCACCATTAATACAGTATTTAATATTTATGAATATTAATAAATTAATTATTATCAATACATTACTCACCCATTAACACATTATTTGATATTTATTAATACTAATAAATCAATTATTATCAATACATTACTGACCATTAATACGTTATTTTATATTAATGAATATTAATAAATTAATTAATAATTATCAATAGATACATTACTCACCCATTAACACATTAATTAATATTAATACCAATAAAATATACGAGCAATTGGATTTTCTCCTAATTAAATTAATTAATTACCTTAATTAATTAGTCATTATTATTATTATTAATTAATTAGTTAATAACCTGGACGGTGACGTGGCAAGGGAAGCAAGGGCCAGTGTGGCATCGGCTGCCACATTTATGGTTGCCACACGCCAGCGTCTTGCCACATGGCAGCTCACATGGCGGGCAATCTCCCGTGCAGCACTGCAGTGATGGCAATCTCATTAGCGACTCATTAATGGCAATCTCATTAACAACTGATTAATGGCAATCTCATTAGCTACTGATTAATGGCAATCTCATTAGCAACTGATTACTCAAAACCACATTAGCGACGGATTAAAAACAATCTCATTTGCAACTGATTAAAAACAAACTCGGTGTTAATGAGATTGTTGATCAAAAACAATCAAAACGACTGATCTGATTAAAAACAAGCTAATTAGCGACTGATTAATCACAATCTCATTAGCTACCTACTTTCTTGTTACACCAGCTGTAGCTACTCACCTTGTTACACCTGTCTCTTATACACATCTAGATGTGTATAAGAGACAGGGTATATATAATACGATTAATAGTTCTTTATTATAAGTCTCGCAAGGTGACAACGTGCTTGTTAAACCCGCTAGCACGGTAACATCATAGTCTTTAACTCAAAAATGCAAGAAACAAATATTAAAAAAGAAATTACTGGTCTCACTTACAACGGCACAAAAGTTGGGCTATAAAGCGGTTCAGTTTATTTTGTACTTGACAGTACGGTAGTTGTGACCTGGTTATTGTAGAACCTGATTTTCTTGTTTACAAAGAGAGGCTCAGGCGCCACTAGCCAGGGTAGAGTTTATCGTTCTTATTTTAATTTCAAATGGTAGTTAAATTTCTTATCCTTAATTTCAAATGGTAGTTAAATTTCTTATCTTAATATCTCTATGAACAGTCATATTGATCTGACCCGAGCTGGTGTCAAATTAAACATTCGATTCTATCAAAATGGGATTGAAATTATCTATTAAAATATTATCACTGGTCTGGAGCCCATCTAATGACACAAAACATGGGATTTTATTTAATATCTTTTAAAATTATTCTTTGAACATCATATATGCTTCAAAATTGTTTAAACTAATTTATAGTGATTGCTGAGAAGAACCAAGGAAAATTTGTTGTAACTCCAAAAGTCAACGATCTTAGTTCGCTTCTGTGATTTACGAATACATTGATTTTGTTAGGCGCCTCTGATATGGATTCACATACCCTATGATGACTAATATATATTATTCATCATTACTGAAATTTTATCACAATTTCTGGTAATACAAAAATAAACATAAATTATCGCCGCAACTTAGAGATCTTAAATCACGCAAGACATTAGCTCAGATGTGGGCGCCANGGGTGTGATGTGACAAGGGTGTGATGTGACAAGGGTGTGATGTGACAAGGGTGTGATGTGACAAGGGTGTGATGTGACAAGGATGTGATGTGACAAGGATGTGATGTGACAAGGATGTGATGTGACAAGGATGTGATGTGACAAGAGCGTGATGTGACAAGAATGTGATGTGACAAGGACAATTCACCCACCGGGGGGCAGGCTCCGGTGTGGCAGCGCTCCACGCAGCGATGCATGCCACATGCCAGCGGCTTGCCACACGTGTCGCCACACGGCGGCACGGTCTCGTGGCAACTCAGCCCTGCCACCTGCCATGTATATAAATCCTCCTCAATTATCACGACTTATTATTTAAATAATAAATATTCTACAACATTACAGAGCTAATATATACATAATACTAATACAAAAACAGTTAATGTATGAGTAGAGGAGACAATTTCAAGAGGTTGCCATCCATACAATAATTGTTGTATGAATTATAAAACTGCCACAGTGGCAGTTGCGAGGCACTGACCTGGGGGGTCTTGCCACAGTGGCAGTTACGAGGCACTGACCTGAGGAGTCTTGCCACAGTGGCAGTCACGAGGCACTGACCTGAGGAGTCTTGCCACAGTGGCAGTCACAAGGCACTGACCTGAGGAGTCTTGCCACAGTGGCAGTGGCACGTGGCAGTGCCACAGTGGCAGTCACAAGGCACTGACCTGAGGAGTCTTGCCACAGGGGCAATGGCGCGTGGCAGCAGACAGTGGGCACTGTGTGGCACAGCCGCCCGCCACATGACACACCTCCTGGCACGTGTGATGGCCACACGGGAACGCACGCCCGCACACCTACAATAATTTCTCTTCTTATTAATTTCTAATTTTCTAATTTTTTTCTCTTAATTTTCTGAAATAATTTCTTTTCTTATTAATTTCTAATTTTCTAATTTTTTTCTCTTAATTTTTCTGAAATAATTTCTTCTTCTTATTAATTTCTAATTTTCTAATTTTTTCTCTTTATTTTCTGAAATAATTTCTCTTCTCATTATAAAATACACGTTGCCCATGATGAATAATTTTTAATTTGAAAATTTCGTAATATGAAATATGATTGCCAGACCAAAGAATTTATAAGACAGCATCATTATATTATATTTATATATATTTCTTTATAACTTCATATTCAATNAGTAGAGCAGGCAGCCTAAGTAGAGCAGGCAGCCTAAGTAGAGCAGGCAGCCTAAGTAGAGCAGGCAGCCTAAGTAGAGCAGGCAGCCTAAGTAGAGCAGGCAGCCTAAGTAGAGCAGGCAGCCTAAGTAGAGCAGGCAGCCTAAGTAGAGCAGGCAGCCTAAGTAGAGCAGGCAGCCTAAGTAGAGCAGGCAGCCTAAGTAGAGCAGGCAGCCTAAGTAGAGCAGGCAGCCTAAGTAGAGCAGGCAGCCTAAGTAGAGCAGGCAGCCTAAGTAGAGCAGGCAGCCTAAGTAGAGCAGGCAGCCTAAGTAGAGCAGGCAGCCTAAGTAGAGCAGGCAGCCTAAGTAGAGCAGGCAGCCTAAGTAGAGCAGGCAGCCTAAGTAGAGCAGGCAGCCTAAGTAGAGCAGGCAGCCTAAGTAGAGCAGGCAGCCTAAGTAGAGCAGGCAGCCTAAGTAGAGCAGGCAGCCTAAGTAGAGCAGGCAGCCTAAGTAGAGCAGGCAGCCTAAGTAGAGCAGGTAGAGCAAGCAGGACCTGGTGGCAGCTCCAGGCAGGGCTGCTGCAGGGGCGGAGGGTGGCACTGCGGTGGCAGTGGCAGCGCTGGGTGCTGGTGCGGGGGCACGGCTGGCACTCTCCTGCGTGGCACTCCTGCTGGCACCTGCACAGGTGATAACAAGTGGTGATAACAGGTGGTGATAACGGGTGGTGATGAGTTTCATGATAACAGAAGATGACTGATAACAAAAGATGAGTCATGACAGATAGTACCTGCAGTATCTTCGGCATTGAAGAATAGGCCTGGATGGTGAAGTCATGATAACAGATGGTGATAACAATGTCCACAGGTTTACCACACGCCCCACCTGTGTTGCTGGCAGGACAGCAGTTTACCACAGGGTTTACCACAGGTCCACAGCTTGCGGTAGCAGCGGTGTGGTGTCGGTCCACTTTTACCACACTCACACATTGTGGGCAACATCACAGGACAGGGAGCACACGGTCCTGTAAACACAAATAAATTAATCTATTTCAATTAACAATTAAATATTCATATATAAAAACAATTCTAAATAAATTCAGTTTAGCTTGGTCATAAATAGCTATAGGAATAATGATGACATATATATAAATACAATTATAAATAAATTCAATTTAGTTTAGTCATAGTCAAATATAGTATCATCTCGAGTAATGATTAAAAATTCATATATAAAAAACAATTTTAATAAATTCATAGTTTGGTAATTCAGTTTGGTAATAAATAACTATAGGAATAACAATGACATATACATACATACTATTATAAATAAATTCAATTCATTTTGGTCATAAATAACTATAGGAATAATGATGACATATATTTAAATACAATTATAAATAAATTCAGTTTAGTTTAGTCATAAATAACTATAGGAATAACAATGACATATATATAAATACAATTATAAATAAAATCAATTCAGTTTGGTCATAAATAACTATAGGAATAACGATAACATATATATAAATACAATTATAAAAAATTCAGAATAGTTTGGTCATAAATAACTATAGGAATAATGATGACAAATATATAAAAACAATTATAAATAAATTCAATTTAGTTTAGTAATAAATAATATATCAAACATCAGACTTGGTGATGAGAACCAAGTTTTACAAGCCACACCACAACGTACCAGGATGGCAGAGCATAAGGCAATTGTGGCCACACTGTGGCGTTAGAGGCTTGCCACAAGTCTCGCCACATGAATGTGGCAACACCCATGGGTCCAACGGAGGGTCGTAGGTCTTGCCACAGTAGCAGAGGTAATGTCTAAGTAGAGCAGGCAGCCTAAGTAGAGCAGGTAGAGCAAGCAGGACCTGGTGGCAGCTCCAGGCAGGGCTGCTGCAGGGGCGGAGGGTGGCACTGCGGTGGCAGTGGCAGCGCTGGGTGCTGGTGCGGGGGCACGGCTGGCACTCTCCTGCGTGGCACTCCTGCTGGCACCTGCACCAGTGATAACAGGTGGTGATAACAGTGTCGTGATAACAGGTGGTGATAACAGGTGGTGATAACAGGTGGTGATAACAGATGGTGATAACAGTGTCGTGATAACAGATGGTGATTAGAGTGTCGTGATAACAGATGGTGATAACAGTGTCGTGATAACAGATGGTGATAACAGTGTCGTGATAACAGATGGTGATAACAGTATCGTGATAACAGATGGTGATAACAGTGCCATGATAACAGATGGTGATAACAGTGTCGTGATAACAGATGGTGATAACAGTGTCGTGATAACAGATGGTGATTATGGTGTTGTGATAACAGATGGCGATGAGTTTCATGATAACAGAAGATGACTGATAACAAAAGATGAGTCATGACAGATAGTACCTGTAGTATCTTCGGCATTGAAGAATAGGCCTGGATGGTGAAGTCATGATAACAGATGGTGATAACAGTATCGTGATAACAGATGGTGATAACAATGTCCACATGTTTACCACACGCCCCACCTGTGTTGCTGGCAGGACAGCAGTTTACCACAGGGTTTACCACAGGTCCACAGCTTGCGGTAGCAGCGGTGTGGTGTCGGTCCACTTTTACCACACTCACACATTGTGGGCAACATCACAGGACAGGGAGCACACGGTCCTGTNTTGAATAGATTGAAATAATAGTAAATATTTGAATAGATTGAAATAATAGTAAATATTTGAATAGATTGAAATAATAGTAAATATTTGAATAGATTGAAATAATAGTAAATATTTGAATAGATTGAAATAATAGTAAATATTTGAATAGATTGAAATAATAGTAAATATTTGAATAGATTGAAATAATAGTAAATATTTGAATAGATTGAAATAATAGTAAATATTTGAATAGATTGAAATAATAGTAAATATTTGAATAGATTGAAATAATAGTAAATATTTGAATAGATTGAAATAATAGTAAATATTTGAATAGATTGAAATAATAGTAAATATTTGAATAGATTGAAATAATAGTAAATATTTGAATAGATTGAAATAATAGTAAAATATTTGAATAGATTGAAATAATGGTAAAATGTTTGAATAGATTGAAACATTAGTAAATATTTGAATAAATTGATATAATAGTAAAATATTTGAATATATTGAAATAATATTAAAATATTTGAATAGATTGAAATAATAGTAAAATATTGTAATAGATTGAAATAATGGTAAAATATTTGAATAGATTGAAATAATAGTAAATATTTGAATAGACTGAAATAATATTTGAATGTTATTCATATTGAATAGATATTTATTATTATTGTTCTTGAATAGATAATAATAGATAGATAATTAAATAATTGAATAGATAGATAATTATTTATATTGAATAGATAATAGTAAATATTTGAATAGACTGAAATAATATTGAAATATTTGAATAGACTGAAATAATAGTAAAATATTTGAATAGATTGGAATAATAGTAAATATTTGATTTTGCCTATGAGTTTTAGAGTTAATGAATTTGTAAGACTTGGTTCCGAGTCAAATATTTGAATAGATTGAAATAATATTGAAATATTTGAATAGATTGAAATAATAGTAAATATTTGAATAGACTGAAATAATATTAAAATATCTGAATATATCGCACCAAGACCAGTGAAGACCAGCGTGGTCTATACGTTGCTGGTGGTCAGGTTGTTGTTGTCGCTGCTGCTCGGCTCGCAGGAAAATGCTGTCGTCCGCCCACTTCTGGATGCAGTTGAGGTGCAGCACTGAATAGCACTTGCTGCAGCTCCAGGTCTGATTTTAAAAATAATTAATCAACAATTTGAATAGAACTATGATAATATCAACTATAATATCAACTATCAACTATATATAACAACTAAGGAAAAATAATGTCAAAGGTTCAGTATATAATAAGATTTTTTGTAAGCAAAGGGAGCAGGCCTAGCTTCATCAATGATACTGTGAGGCCAAATACAAATAAAAGATAAGCACTAATAATATTATATCATTATAAAATAATGTGGCCTATATCAGGGCAAAAAAAGGGCATCATTCACAAATTTTTTTATAACAAAATGACTCTGACAATCTGAGATTTTTCACTTTGAAAGCATCATGATGGTAAGAAATAATCAAATTATGAACCACTGAAACAGTAAACTAAGCAAATTTCTTTAAAAATGATGCAGAATTAACTCTTATTGATCAATTATATATGCCCGAACTCATTGAGAAATTCTCAAATCAAGGGCCATGCAATCAAAACTCACTTAACCCTCTATCGCCGTATGTCACTTCCAGGAACGTAACTTTCAACTTAAATTATACTAACTATTGAGTGTAGCAACCTGAGGACGTTTGTACGCAACAGAGAACATTTTAAAGTTACCGTACGTGGCGGCAAATTATACGTAAACTATTGAGTGTAGCAACCTGAGGACGTTTGTACGCAACAGAGAACATTTTAAAGTTGTCGTACGTGTAGCAACCTGAGGACGTTTGTACACAACAGAGAAGATTTTAAAGTTGTACGTGGCGGCAACCATCAGTGCAAGTCATTTTGCGCTCACTAGAATGTATTCTTTTTGGGAAGTAGGCGCGTGACAATATTGCTCCGGTTACTCATGTCGAGCCGTAGAGGGTTAAGTACACATAGCAGTCAATTTTTTGTCTGTGATTGGTGGATTTATCTTGAAAAGCCATCAGTGATAGCCTGAATATATTAACTTATTTGTGTTTATTCCTGTTTATTCCTGTTTATTCGTGTTTATACTAGCTTGAAATTATTTTTATCATTACAACCCTGGATTAAAAATATGGTGTACCTTATCAGCCCTCTTGACAGCATGGATGCATATGAGGCAGGTCAGAGCTCCAGAAGACAGAGCGTCTCGCAAGTGAGCCAGCGTTGCTGCTGTGTCCCCTTCAGAGGCAGCGGCCAGAACTCGAGCTACAATAAAATATATTTACTTGTAAAGGTTTAAGTGTTTGTCAAATTTAAGCACAAAATTCATAATTATTTTTAATGCTGAATGAAACATGTAACTTATTTTCAGAGGAGAGATCAACTTTGATTTTCAATAGCAGCATAATAATCAAGAGTATACCAGTGACAAAGCATGATATATATACATGTATATATAAACAAAAAAAAAAATTCATAAAAATTACACAAATAACATACAGAGAAGGCCATCTTGTTGCTCAGGAGGAACCTCGTCTTCATCGCTGTTGCCCTCATCTTCAAGTGGATGTTCTGAGAGATATTTATTAACTGATGCCTGTATTTGAGCACACGCCTCCTCATACTTGCGGGATCCTCTGCAATGGGGGCTTTTATTTAGTGTGACAACATGTGATAGTGATTCAGCACAAAATTTGTGATTAATAGAAATAATATTAAAAACATTTAATTTTTATAATTCATGACAGAATTCAACTAAGGATATGTATTTTGGAGGTTTACCTTAACAAAATTTCATCATAAAAATAAAGAAAATACATTTTATTTTGATGGATTTTATCAGTACACACATCTCTGAGGGCTTGTCTCTAAAACATGCTATAAATATTCTCTCTGAAAACTCATTTAAAATTAAAAGTAATCCTTTTTGAGACCATAATTATTTAAATATTTCAAATAGATTCCAAAGAACTTTTTAAAAATAATTTCAAAGTTCAAAAGAGATGGAAAATATTAATTGGTTTTGAACATAAGATTACTGACCTGCCACTCAATGCTTATTTAAAAAATGTATTTAAAAAACATTTGTATTTGTATTTCATTCAAAACTGAATTCTTATTTCAAATTTACCTCTGGTGTACAAATTACTATTTAAAAATTATGATAGAAGACATGAAACTTTAAACCAACCCTTGCACAGCTTTGTCTGCTGTACTCTGCACATCATCACTTGTGGCGGTATCATTTTTGATGTGCGAGGTCTGACCAGAGCTAGCACCTCTCTTCATTCCTGGAAGGTAATAATAACTTTAATCAGACTATAAAATATGCAACAAAATATTAAAATTCATACATGTATTATGTATCTATAAAAGCATACATGTTTTAAAGTCATGGTTCCAAGTTTTTAAAAATGGGCAGAAGCTACTACTTGTCAGTGCAACAAAAATGACCAAGCATGTGTAAAAATTTTTCCATCCATTATTCCATCAAGTTCAAGACCAATGTGGAAAATTTGGCAGAAACTGCCTGCAAATGAGACAAAAAAAGAGCCATACTTGTGGTTTATTTTCCCTGTTCCTATAGCCCTTGATTATTTTATTTAGAAATGAATTTAAAAAAAATTTCTCCACAATATATGAAAATCATCAGTAAAATGATAATTTTTAGTTATAATTTATGGAAAATTTTACACAATATTTCCAATACGTAGTTTTGCAATTTACACATATTATTTGGCAACCATACTGAAACATTGCACAGGAGCTACCCACAAATGAAACAAAAACAGGCTTGATTGCAGGCAATTTCACCCACTTTTTGTCTTTCTTTCAGCAAATATTAAGAGAAACAGTTCATTTTTGTCAGTAAATTTTTTAAATTGTCCATGAAAAGATACTTTTTGATGAAATTTTTGGGAAAACTCAACCTGATATTCCAGATTGGTTTGGCAAGAAACTTAGATGGTTTAGGTACTGAAGTTCAGGCAACAAATCCTCAATACTAATGGCATATTGGCAAACAAGAGACTTTAATTTTAACCATAATTACTCATTAAAGATAACAACAATCTAACATGAACATACATAAGGTATTAATTAAATTTAACAATAAATCAGGAAATAAAAAATGAACTGGTTTTTAATAAATTTCTCAATAGCCTCTATGAATTAATAATGAATTATTATCCTCTTTAATTCCATACTGTTAACATTTTGGGCTTAAAATCTAAGAAGCCTGGAATAATGGGCAGACTTATCCAAAATTGCAGGTAAAAACAAGTTTCACTGGAGATTTACAAAAGTTGCAGGGAAAAATATGCCAGATTTATGCTATTTTACTTAGAAACTCGAGAAAGGGCTTTAACCCATTAATGACGAGAATTATTTTCTGAATTTTTTTTCGGTTCCTTGTGAGAATATTATCATTTGTGATGGTAATAAGCAAAAAGTATGTTCATATATTTATTTTTCGTTGTATGTGAAAAATTATAGCTTGGTTCCATATGGAACCNACTTACAATCTTTAAATGTTAACTGAGCAGGGAGTAGTCGGCGCAGCTGAACCAAACGTTGCCAGAACACGTCCAAGATGTGTATAAAACCTACGCATCCACTAGTATATTGATTTGACCATACAATTTTATTATGAATCAATTTCTTTCCGCTGGTTCCAAATGGAACCGCTCGGCATTAATGGGTTAAGAATGGGTGAAATTAGAAAAATTCACATGCATTTTTGTCCAATTCATGGGTGGCTTCTGCCTAATTTTCCAGTTTGCAGACCTGATCTTTTTAATTGGCAAACTCAGCATTAGACTGCATAAAGTTGTTGAATATGTAGTAAAAGTAATCACAGTGGTATAACTTAACATCAAAAACCTCATTATAAGTGTCCTCAATAACTCACCTCTGCCTCTTCCTTTTCCGCGCTGAACTTCTCTACCATTCTTCTGCACGCCTTCTCCATGGCCACTGAAATTTGTATTCTCCCAGCCTCTATTATGTTGGCTACGTCCACTCATTTGGAAATTGCAGAAAGCAAAAAACTATGATAATAATGACAAATAATTATTGTTCATATAATAATATATACCGTACTATATACTGAAATAATACCAACTATATAATTAATACATATAATATAACATTATGTAACTATCAGTAAATCAAATACATTAGTTTCTGGGACATAATATCAGTGTGAAAATTCCATAAAAATTTCACATAAGGAAAAATAAGATAAAATTAAAAAATTCCAAACATAAATAGTATAATTAAGATCAGGATGATGAAGGATATGAGGACTTGAGAGCAAGTCTGCCAGAGTGGACAGTCACTGGTCTTCTTCTTCATGGGGTGTCCACGCTGAGTGGACTTGAAGCAACAGGTCAGCCTGATAGATGACCGTTGGGCCTGAGAACTTGTTGCTAGTGGAGTTATTAGCCTCTTGGTATGGGAAGCTAATCAATGATCTTTTATGGGCAGTCAGTTCTCATGTAGCTCAGCACAGGATTTGGGGAATTTGAAGACAAATATGGGCGAATGGCCTCAAATGTATGCTCATTTGAGGCAAAGCACAAAGGAATAATAAAGAATAGCTTGTGCAACATCCCTAGTCCCTACCTACTTCAAACAGCTAGAAGATCTGCCCACCCTGCCCACTAGGCAGGGTGGCCTAGTGGTTAAAGTTCAGAGTACCAAGATTGGCGCAGAGAGGCGTGGGTTCGATCCCAGCTCTGTGCGCCAGTTTCTGGTCAGA